TGCTGCACGACCAAACTATTTGCTGCACGACCAAACTATTTGCTGCACGACCAAACTATTTGCTGCACGACCAAACTATTTGCTGCAGGTTTGTCACACTATTTGCTGCACGATCAACCTATTAGCTGTAGGTTTGTCACACTATTTGCTGCACGATCAACCTATTTGCTGCAGGGTTTTCACACTATATGCTGCACGATCAACCTATTCGCTGCAGGTTTTTCACACTATTTGCTGCAGGTTTATCTGCGAATATACCTTAGGCCCAAACAGTTCGCGAGCTATGGCAAGGATGGTGGATGTTTTGCCTGTGCCGGGTGGTCCATAGAACAATAGATGAGGGAAGTCATTTGATTTCAAGGAATTGCGCAGTACGGCCGTTACCTGGATGGTGGGAAGACATTCGCTATTGGAGTGAGTATACGCGGTCTAGAGAATCGCTCAAGACACTCGAAGTGACTTGCGAGGATGTACGATAGTTACAAGTTGTCACATGTCAGCGGAACAGGGGGGTAGAGCGAGCATGTGCAGGTTGGTGACTGCAAACTATATACATGCGGTTACTATCAGATCAGTTCCCGAATACCGGGCAGCAACATATGGGGATTCAAATAGGGGTGGAAAGTGCTGCTTACGGATTTTCGCTAGATCAGATAGGCAGGTATATGCTAATGAGAAGCGTTCAACATCACACTATGTACAATATAAACAGGCACAACAGACACTTGTAATTCAATACTTCTGTTAGCTATGTGCATGTGAGAAGCGTTCAACATCATACTATGTACAATATAACTAGGCACAACAGACACTTGTAATTCAATTTTCTGTAAGGTATGTGCTTATGCAAAGCGTTCAACATCATACTATGTACATTATAACTAGGCACAACAGACACTTGTAATTCAATACTTCTGTTAGGTATGTGCTTATGAAAAGTTCAATATCATACTATGTACAATATAACTAGGCACAACAGACACTTGCAATTTAATACTTCTGTTAGGTATGTGCTGATGAAAAGCGCTCAACATCATACTATGAACAATATAACCAGGCACAACAGACAATTGTAATTCAATACTTCTATTAGGTATGTGCATGTGAGAAGCGTTCAACATCATAATATGTACAATATAACCAGACACAACAGACACTTGTAATTCAATACTTCTGTTAGGTATGTGCATGTGAGAAGCGTTCAACATCATAATATGTACAATATAACCAGATACAACAGACACTTGTAATTCAATACTTCTGTTAGGTATGTGCTTACGAGAAGCGTTCAACATCATAATATGTACAATATAACTAGGCACAACAGACAATTGTAAT